TTCCCTCAGTAGTCTGGTAACAGCATTTTACCCTAACATTCTGTAATCCTCAATATACAAATAGTCCCAACTTTCATATTTATGAAGTCTTGTTTGGTTCTATGAACAGAAATTTACTTATGCCTCCACTACCTTCAGTGCAAACTTTCACATCTAAAAAACATCTGAAATTGTCATACACGATATGTTTGGGCTCCTCAAACTGCACAGGATGTGCAAAGTGCTCCTATGGATATTAAAAAAAAAAATTCCACAGATGTGGGAGGATAATTTTAGAAGATAATTTGTGCATTAGGCAGTGTAGCTATAATCGCTTGCAGTCTTAGAGCAGTTAATAACTGGAATCAATTTCTCAAAGTGAATCAATATAACTCCATTATGAATACCATCAAGACTATGTATTTTTACCTATAAYCATCACTGCCAATTCAGACAAGTTCTTTAAAACACAGATTTTTTTTTAGTCAGCTTCATAACCCAGAGTTTCACTACTTTGATTTTCAGAAGCCAGCAGCACATAAGAAACTTTTACTATTGRCCATAAAGCATAACATAATGTCACAATCATATGTTCTCAAACTTGTTTTTKGTACTGTCAGGGGCCATACCATTATCTAAAATAAGTTTCTCTTTTTTTGACATTTTCTCTTCATACGGTTGGTTGTCTTACTGCCCATCACATCCAGCATTTCCTCTCAGTGTTTACCTTCATCATCAAGACACAGAACTTGCTGCAGCTGAGAGCRTTTCTCATCCTTTCATCAGAAAAGTCCTCAGCTATAAACAGAGTTGCAATGGGATGCTCAGCCATGGCACAATCAGAAGAACAATTTTCCACTGCACCTCCTGTGTGTGTCTGTTTTAACCATCAGCTCTAAGTACTTTCTCCAGTGTCTGTGTTTAACGGCATGTAAGGTGAAAGCATTTGAAAGCAGGTACTTTCAGCTGCCTTCAGCCTTCTTTGCCCTTTTCCAGTATCTCAAATCCTATAGAAAGCAAGGTGGGACGTTAGCTTTCCAGAGATGGTTCATCTCCTTGGAGATGCAGAGCCAGGAGATGTGGAAGGGGGCAGAACACTGAAGCACATTGGCTTCAACAGCATTTTGCAGAGAGCAACAGCAAGTCATAAAGCRTACTTCCCCAAACCTCTGGATCACAAAGACAGCTTTAATTTGGTTTTTGCCCATCCATGCCTCAGAAAAAGCTCAGAAGAGCTGACAAAACAAAAACCTGGCGTTTGTGCAGCCTGCCCAATGTCAGAGACACACGAAAGAAAATGAGTATGTTCAGATTGCGACTGGATCACCCACATCCACTTGTAAAGTGGAAGTGCATGAAGTGAAAAGGGACGTCTTTGTAGTCAAACCATTAGACCAGGAGTTAGGAGACCTGAGCTTTCATCACAGTCCTAGAAGAAATTCCTTGTGGATAAACCACATTCTGTTCTTTGACTTTGATGTTTTTCTCTAAAAGGACAAAAATAAAATGGCCGTTTCTTGCAGTCAGCTGTAATTAATGACAAGTTCTTTGAGGATCAAATTCACTCATACCATTTATACCATTGCTAAAGTGTGGTAACTGTAAAAGCTCACACTGAAACTATYGTCTTTGAAATATTAAAAATTACCATTTTTATGGCATTATTAAGAACATTAAGTAGAGACATATAAATTACAAATTAGGGAACTCGAGATTTTAGCTCTAGTGGCTTATTCAGGCTGGTAGTTCCAGCACGCAGAGCACTACAGTGTATATGTACACATACACCTACACACTCCTGGTCTTACCTGTTGCATTATGTTAAAGACAAGCATCAGATCAGTTCCACACACTCCAACACATTTCATTTTGACAAGTAAGGGACACCCAAAGCAGAGCTAYCTCATTGTGGGTACAGTGCCTTTTTATTAGAAAGCATTGTCTACACTTCAGCAGCGAATGGCTTCCTACACACCATGTATGACACCTCCAGCACACGACGTTGTGTGTGAACTCCCCTACCACCACAACTTCTCCTTCCACAGGTTAGAGCAGATGCTCARGAATGAACCAATCTGGTTTGATAGGTCAACTTGGCTACCTTTAAGAGATCCCCACCAGCATCCCTCTTGTATTCAAGATTTGGGGGCTTCTGCTATCMGTGAAACTCTACAACAGGAGCTAGAAGTTTCCACCAAAGCAGTCTGTGTTCCCCAGTCTGTGCTCCATCTGCATTGTTTCTCCTCACGTTCCTACCATGAAGATCAGTCCACCCTGTCTCCGCTAATCAATGAGAAAAGACAAGTTTTGGTTTTGGTCTTCCTACCAAGAGTTTCCAGTGGTGTAAAAGGAATTGATTTTGTAATTGCTCTTTGCAGTCTTTGCTTCATTATTGCATACTCATAATTCATGAGTTTCCAATTTTTACCACATTTGTTCCTCCTGTTGCTTTACTCTCCAAAATTATTTAGCCTGTCAAGAGAAAGCCAGAGATCATCTTGCTTATGCTGCCTCTCTCTTTGCATCTGCATGCTCCACAGGGCAGTCTGCAAAGTTCCATCAAACACTTGATCCTTCAGTTCCTGCATTTCAATTCTGTGTCCTCTCATTTGTGAGATGGGMAAAGTCCTGGAAGGGAGGTCACAGAATCATGGAATGGTTTGGATTAAGAAGGACCCTAAAGATGTCCTGGTTCCAAAYCGCCCACCATGGACAGGGATGYCACCCACTAGATCAGGTTGTTCAGGACCCCATCCAACCTCRCCTCASACACTGCCAGGGATGGGGCATCCAGAGTCATTTAGAYATTCCTCTTCATCCCAGACCTGCTCAGATTTCCATAACTTGTGTTGTTATTTATGGCAGCCTGCAGTCACAGAAATGCATCACCACCACATGCCATAATCCAATCCAYAGTATCAGTGACTCACTTTACTGGTGTTTTTTAATACAGGTGCCCTCTGTTGTATTTTCTGTCCTCTGCTACAGAGCAATTGCTTCCTTTCTAYAACAGCTGATCAAGCTCTCTTTTTAATTGCTCACTTCTTACAGTATGAACATCCATCAGGTTTGCCCTTGAAGAGTATGATCACTCTTCCAGGGAAAGTTCCTYGCTGAATTGTTATTAAACAATCAATATTTCTAGTTGAATGTAAGGCAATCTGGTTTTCTCTTCCCTCCCGGTCACAAATCACCACATTGTTTCTTTTGCTTCTGCTCTCCCCAGACCTTTTAAAATTGATCTTTTCCCTTGAGGCAGGCCTAAGCAAAGATTTCAGCAAWGGGCTGTCCAGTAAGTCAATGCTTTGGATGCTGCACTGCATCAAAGCCAGTATGTCCAGACTGGTTTCCTTCTCCTCTACCAAGTCTCCCAGCTTCCAGCTCAAGAAACAGAGATTGCTTTATCCTTTGGCAGAAATAAAACAGAGTGTAGCCAGGGCAGGTAACTGCAGTAAYTCACTAGGCATCTGTACACTTAATAAAATGTAGTGTTCTCCTGGCACAGAAGGGAGCCAAATGCCCTCAGTTGCCATTTCACTAAAGTAAGCCCYGCAAACCACAGGGATTTAGAGTTCTTACATCCAATGCTTTTTGCAGTTCTTCATGCTCGTGCACTAAAAGGGTGCTCATTGATTTAATAAAGCCAAGGTCTAGAGAGATCTATAAATACAAGTGTTTTACCCTCATGCATTATTGCCCTGATGCCCAAGACTGAACTTCTGCTCCTTCACAGATAAATTGCTTCCTCACTGGTTAACACCAGCTTCCATTAGCAAAAGTGGTGGCAGACATATTTGGGAAGGTGATCCATGATAAAACACAGCTTCGTCTCTTTTTTTTTGCTTTCGCTTTGATTTCTTTACTCGCCACATCCCATGCTCCTCTTTTTCCCATCTGACTCTACTCAGAAGAAATCAATAATGTAATATTCTTTATCAATATTACCTAACACATTATCAATGAGTCTCACTTAAAATCTACTGAACTCAGTGCAGTGACAGGTATCAGCCTCGAGGGGCTCAAGATGATCTTGGTCCTACAGTTGCCAAAACTGCCTTCTAAAAGGCAGTCTGAAACAATTCTTCACATCTTTTATAGACTACTACTACTACTACTACTATTACTACTACTACTACTACTACTACTACTAATAATAATAATAATAGTAATAATGTGATGGGGAGGGGGTGTGTTGATATTTCAATCCTAAAGTAGAACACATTCTGTCCATTCAGCTACTCTGTAAATTCCAAAACGTAAAACATAGAGCTTTCTAGTCTATACTTTGCATTCAACAGCAAATTAAGGTTTATGGCTTTCTTTTAAAAATATCATAGGAMGTTTTATTTAGAATGACTGTTTTACAGTAACTCCAAAGCCTTGGCTTGTCCAACTGAACTGCTCCCAAAAATGCTGAACTCCGAAGCAGAACTGCAAGGAAGTGGAATGTTTCTCCCCGAAATGTTTATCAGCTAGCACCATTGTTAACCACTGAATTCCCAGCATGGCAGGCAAAGCCCTCTGACAAAAGCATCCCTCGTGCTTTCACCATCACGTTATCACAGCACACAGTCACGTTGCTCCTTCACCTGGCACCCTCGTGGAGCTCCTCACCCACTGCAACTGTGACAGGGAGCATGTGGGAGCTCAAAGCAGCAGCAGCAGTATTTCCAAACCTTACCCTTCCTTCCCTTTGCTGGGCTACTTTAGGTCTTTTGCACTTCTGGGTGCACCCCCAACTCTGTGAAAGCAGTTCTCCCCCCAAATTCACATGGTAAATGTGGTTTCACACCGTCATGAAATAAAGTCCTGTACAACTTTGGGCCTGGGTTTTAAAGTCAAAGAAATGATTGCCAGATCATGTATTGGGTTACYTTCCATTAGCTCAGCTCTGAGATAACCTTGTGTTACATAAAGGCAACAGAGTCACCCAAGATTTGATTATGTGAAATATTGCCCGCTCTGTGCAGTTACATTTAGTACACCTCTGAATGTTCTTACTAGCTGAAATACAAACTTACCAGGCAAATACACACTATACAAGGGTTGTCTGTGATAAAAGGTATCTGCAGAATTTCCCCTTCATTTTCACATTTTGCAACCGATCCTGAAAAAGAAATAAAAATTTTAAAATACTAGCATATTTCATTTCACCCTAACAGTTTTCACCCTTCATTTCACAGTTTTGGAAACTGTCCTCGTCACACTCACGTTTAACCCTTGCTCCGTTCCTAGCCCTCGGTTTTAAACCCTGCCTTAATTTGCCCCATTTAAGCAGGCAAGGATGTTCACTGCTTCTGTAAGATTCTAAAGAGAACAGGGAAATGAGTGGCCTTTTATTGCCGCACAAACCTAGACTTTCTTTGTGCCCCAGTTATAGTAAAGAAGGACGCTTTTTCTTCTCTCAGATGACGTGTGGAGAATAACGAGTACTCCATGCAAAGCAGGATACGTCTATAACGATAGATCCAGAGCTCGCTGAAATCAGCAGAAAGCTGTCCACTGCACTCTGAGGACTTGGACCACGAACGCAGCACAAACCCTAAACCAAGCATCCTTTTAATGCACAGCAACCACTTGGCAAACGAGTCAAAATTAGCAGGCTGACTGTCAAACGGAATCAAATTAAAAAAAAACCCTTTACGGCCCTAGTGCTGATTAGCCGGTATTCTGTCATGTTGGAATCACTCCCCAAGTCTAATGGCTCCTCGCTTGCGTTAGAATTTGATTCAGCGTTTCTCTCCATGCCCCAGATCTCAGGAAAATAAAACCCTCGAGGGGAGGCAGGGAGAACGGGGAGAAAAAGAACACGAAAAGCCATTTTGGTGGGGAGAGAAGCACGSCTACTGCGCTCACCTGCCCCAACCCACGCGGTTACACCTCGGGCTGCCCTTCCCGCGCAATGCCACCCGGCACAGGTGGCCCCGCGCCCGCGTCCCCGCCGTACCTGTGAGCAGGGAGGAGGCCGGCGCCCCGGGCAGGCACAGGACGCCCAGCAGGACGGCGGCGGAGGCCGGGGAGAGCCGCGGAGCCGCCGGCCAGCCCCAGCCGAGCCGCGGCATCGTCCCGGGGGTTCCCCTGSCCACCCGCCGGCTGCGGGGCAGCGTCCGGGACGCGCCGTCGGGCGAAGGAGCCCGCCCACCCCCGGCGCGCCCGCCCCAGCACCGACCCCCGGCGCCGGGCAGCGGCGGGGGGGTGGGGAGCGGGACGGGAGACCGCGGCCCGCCGGGGAGTCCCACCCCACGGCGGCACCGGGGGAGGGGACTGTGGGTGCGGGCAAAGCAGCTGTCAGCGCCTGCCCCTCGGCCCCGCACCCCCTCTTTCCATCACCCCCCTCCCCTGCCCGCATCCCTTCTTATACCTTCCTCTCCCCATAGTCCCTCCTCCGGCACCCCCCGGCCCCCATGCCTCCCTCCCCCCCGGCGCACACACGCACAGACAGGCTGCCAGCCCCAGACCCCGTTTCCCTGCCGGGAGATGCCCGGCCACTCCCTCCCGGCCCCGCCGAGCACCGCCCGGCCCGGCAGCGGCGTCGGGGGGCTGCGCCCGCGGCCGCTCGGCGGGAGGGGCGGGGGAAAGGGAGCGGATCGAGGAGAAGAGGAGGAAAGAAGAGGAGGAAAAGGTAAAAGAGGAGTAGCAGGGGAGGAAATGTGGATCGTCGGACAGGGCCGGGGTACCTGGGCAGAGCGCGGCGGCGCCGGCTGCCTGCGCCGGACTCGTCCCCGCCTTGTGTGGGTCCCCTTCGTGCTTCGGGCAGGTTTTGCCGGCTGCCAGCGAGCGGGGAGAAGGAAGAARCGAAGGAARGAAGGAATGAAGAGAGGGAGCGAGGGACCGGAGGCTGTCCTCCGGGAACTCCGCGGCGGGGCTCCGCTTCCCGGCTGCCCGCCCGGCCGGCACCGCCGAGCTCCTCTCGCTTCCCTCTCCCGCACAGCCGGGCGCTCCCCCGGGCCGCTGCTCCCCGAAAAGGCTCCCTGCAGCCCTCCCCAGCAGCTCCGGGGCTGCCTCTCCCCCTCGGGGCGCCCCGGGCTCGGCACAGTCTGGGCTCGGCCTGGGGAGCAGCTCCCGGGGCCGCGCTGCCCCTCCCCGAGCCCGGCCCGCCGAGCGGCTCCCTCGGCCCGCCGCTCCCCGGTGAAGCCTCTGCAGCTCCTCCTTAACACTTGCCATCGGCAGCTCCGCGCTTTGCTAGCCCAGGTGTAAACACGGGCAATTTCAGCGACAGAAATCACTGACACCCAGCTTTGCGCTCACAAATAGGCGCGGGGTCTGGACGGAATGACACTTGTGGCGTGTGACAGGAGGCTTTTGTGTGACAGATCTTCCCGAGCTTGTTTTACAAATCGATTTCTTTMAAACTGTGATGTTTCATTTGGGGAAGTGAACACTCTCTGAAATAAACTGATCTGACAAGAAGCTAAAAAAATGCTTTCTATATGTTCCTATTTTATTTATTTGGGGCTGCATATGAGCTGCAATTTCAAAAATTCTTACAAGTAATGGCAAACCAGCTGCATGGCAGGCTGGCGTATACAGGACTGCTTCAAACATGTTTTACTTCTCAGCAAGACAATTAGATTTGTAAGTTCATTTTGAGAGTAAAACCCAAAAGCCAAGACTTCTGAAAGTCTACACCTTTGTTCTAAAATACAAGATACATACACCTCATTTCCAACACAAYTTCTTACCTACCTTTAGGGTAGAAAGCAAAAGTCCTAAAACAGCTGAAATTGCACCTGTGGGAGGGACCATGTAAAACTGATACCGATCACCTTGTAGACATCACTAGCAAAATCCCTCTCCCTCAGAAAAGGAAACCTACTTTTTTTATTCCACCCTCAAATCTATACAGGTTGAAGCTGCACAGGCACATAGAATAATCTAGATACCATTAAAAGGGTTTTATATTCCCTAAAAACACAAATGAGGTCCAAAACTTTCTCCGTGCTGTACAGAATACATGACAAGCGCAATATATAAACATAATGCATGGAACCTGGATTATTTTTTTTCCCCTGAGAAATGTCTTTTTCACATTTCCATGCATTTTAAACAAAGATAATTCTGTAGAGGTACATACTATCATCCACTACTCCAGAAGAGGTTTTCACACATCCAACTCTTTGTTTTGTTTTGTTTTTTTTTTTTTTCCATAGGAAAGATGTACTGAATCTTCTGGTAACCTGGCTTTTTCTAATTTCTGTATCTGTGATCAGTGGTTACATTTCCCTTTTCTAATTACAGTGCAGCCACRGCCCTTCTAAAGCAACAGCCATAGGAAAAATAAATCTACTCTAATAATTTCTTAAGTGACAACTACCACAGGAGAGTACTTATATTATCRAATGCATCGAATCTTCTCTTTGTGCTGGTCTAAAATTCATTAAATATTAACATCACCCGGTGTGAGAAACACACAAATCACAATGAAGGCATCAAATAACAATCCAGGCATCCAAGTAAAAGCAAGGAATAATATAGTCTGGAAAAAATGCAAAGAGGAAAGTTCTTTACAAAATGAAGGCAAGGGGTGACAACAACTGAGCATCACACTCAATCCCTGCCATGATTTATTCACTTAAGACAAATACTTCATGAAATCATACCTCAGGCAGGGCGGTTACAAAGCAATATGTATAAATTTGTTACATGATTTTCATTTTCCCATGGGAAGAAACCATTATGATCATCACTAAAGCGCCTTCAACACACCAATTAGGCCTGAAACTTACCTCTGAACATGAAAACATTGTCCATGGGGCGAGCTCACTGCATCTTCTGYGGTAGCAGCAGTGCTGAGGTGAGRAATTYGCCTGTCTTCCTTGCTGAAAGCACYTCCTGAAAAGGGACTTCATGTCTCCCTGTKCCATCCCTACTCCATACTCCACTGCCTATTGCTGTCCAGTGGAAGAGCCTGCTGAGGACTGGTGCTGCCTCTGAGCCTCCCTGGTTCCCKATCTCCTCTGTCATCAGGGAAGAGGGGAGATGAGAGAGACGCTCATCCTTACCAGCAACCTTTGTTGCTTCCTTGATATTGATAATGGTGACATATCACAGGGGAAGATCACTCTTTCATTTAAGTAAAACCCAGCCTGGGAGGGAAATATGCCATCTTAATCCTCCCCCACCTTAATTTCACCCACTCAGTGCTACAGGTTTGTCTTGGCTTTTTATCTCTCCCTTACCCTCTCTCCCAAGCCTGCCTTATCAGGGATCAGCATCCTTTTTGGTTGTAATGTTGTATTGAGTTTCAAGGTAGATTTTTTTTTTTTACCTTTTGCTTCTCTGTTTGAAGAGATACTTCTTTTTCCAAGCAACATTCAAAGCTGTGGTCATTTTAGCATAATCAGAGGGTCACACTGAAAACAGTATCCTGCTACCAGATATGTACAGAGACTTTGTTGTGTGCCAGCAGTTAAAACAGAAGTCATGTCATCAAACCACTTACCTCTTTTGTACAAGCACTACATGGTATCAGCTGTTATTGAAAGGACACGTTTATTAGTTCTGTTTAGTGGTYGGCCTGGGCTCATCCATTTGATGGAGCGGTAGCTGATCACAATTACCACTTTGTGTGTAACTCAGCTCCTTCTCCAGGGATGCTTTCCCAGTGGTCAGCCATAAAAGAATGCCATACATTACCTGGTCACCCAGCACCCACCAAAAAAGAAAAACAAAGCTTTATAGTTAACAATRGCATCAGTGAAGAAGACAGTGATCACATTCACATTTCTCTTCATGATTATCTTTTACTGGCAAGTCAAAATTGCCAGGAGGCCCATCCTTCATGGGCTAGGGAATTCTTCCAGAAATGGCAGAAGGCAATGAGTCATTAGAATTCACAATTATTTTGGTTTTTTTGAGAAGGGTAGGTGCTCTTCTACATCTTGGGCGTAGATCGTCCCTGCCCTGCAACAAAGTGTGCAATAAACGAGCTACATGTASATCAACACTATGGTGTCCCTGCTTTTATTACTTTTATGTTGTTATACATTGCTTTAACACAGTTTCTTTGTATTTATGAGACTCTGGGCATAAAGAATAAAATATGACCCAGATATAGACTGTATTGAAGGCTCTGTAAATTGGCACAACTTGCTGTTTCCAGTTCTGGCTTGCTAAACAACTAGACATTTACACGGTACTGAAGGTGGTTTGCRTATCAGATCAAGCTTACACATTTCTATTGTTATTAACAACTTACAAAAGATAAGGAACTCTTGATCCAGTAACTTACACCACCAAAACAAAGGTCAAAGCAACATATATACTGTAGTTGGAGGCATGGGTCTGATAAGCTTCAGCCCTGAAAATTCTTTCAGAGAGACCTGTAATTTGCAAAAGGGTTTTACTATCATGGGGCATCATCACACAGCAATTCAGAAGCTCAGTAGTAACTCACAGGACTGTGAKGAAGACCTGGCATTTTCCTGCAGGAGAGCAGCTGGGAGTTTACAGTTCATTCCTTAGTCCTGAGTGGGCTGCAGCCTTTGAAATGCTTTTGCAAGCTCATCCATTTCAGTGCTTAGTCCTGTTTTAAAGTTAAAAGCATCTRTCAGTGTGGGCAAACAGTATTTCTTGCATGGCCACTTGTCCTCTAGGAGATGATGTTAATAAACCTCGAGACTGACCTGATTATGTCAAAGAGGTGCTCCTRACAAAGCTCTCCTACTGCAAAATATTCAGAAAACTTAAATGGATGTAAGCAAGGTCTGGAGACCACACCAAGAGGTTTTAAAACTGTAGCAGGATTAAAAATCACATATGGTGAAAGTCTTTAAATAAAAGGRAAGTATAAGAAAGTATCTAAAATCTACAGTGAGCCTTACTTGAATAAATGTTTATAAATTTTATCACACAACTCATAATTTTGACAGTTTTCCATAAACCCCTGGAACGTGCAAAGCATTTAATTTATTTGCGGCAAGATAAAGCTAATGAGTAACATTTTTAAAGTCTATTAACATAGAATGTCCTGGCACAGTCATGCTTACATACTTCCATTGTTTAAACTATATTTTCTGAGAACTCAAAAAAACTTACAAAAGGGAGCTTCTGATTACAAAAGTATTTAAAATTATCCTCATCATCTGTATTCATAGAAAAGCAAACCAAACAAGCAGCATAAACTAAACTGGATACAAATGCCAGCAATACCTCAAACCTAAAAATGCTTGTATGCAGCAGAAAATATGGCTCCAATATGGAGACAAGAGACTGTTGTAATAGTCCACRTGAAATATGCTAAAGCAACACCAAAAGAGGTAAATGATAGCAGAAATGCTGAGGCCATCCTGACGATGGGATTCCCAGCAGAAGCTAT